GAAGAAACCCTCCACAAACGTATCATAGGCCAAGACGAAGCTGTGAAAGCCATAAGCCGAGCCATTCGCCGTGCACGTGTTGGACTCAAGAACCCTAACCGTCCAATAGCTAGTTTCATATTCTCGGGTCCAACCGGTGTTGGGAAATCCGAGCTTGCCAAAGCTTTGGCAGCTTACTACTTCGGATCTGAAGAAGCCATGATTCGTCTAGATATGAGTGAGTTCATGGAAAGGCACACCGTCTCCAAACTCATCGGTTCACCTCCTGGATACGTCGGGTACACCGAAGGAGGTCAGCTAACAGAAGCAGTTAGGCGTCGCCCTTACACCGTCGTTCTATTCGATGAGATCGAAAAAGCCCATCCAGATGTTTTCAACATGATGCTTCAGATCCTTGAAGACGGTAGATTAACAGACAGCAAAGGAAGAACAGTTGACTTCAAAAACACACTTCTTATCATGACATCAAACGTCGGAAGCAGCGTGATCGAAAAAGGAGGAAGACGTATCGGGTTCGACTTAGACTACGACGAGAAAGACAGCAGTTACAACAGAATCAAGAGCCTTGTGACCGAGGAGCTGAAACAGTACTTCAGACCAGAGTTCTTGAACAGGCTAGACGAAATGATTGTATTCAGACAGCTAACAAAACTGGAAGTGAAAGAAATTGCTGACATACTGTTGAAGGAAGTGTTCGAGAGGTTAAAGAAGAAGGAGATCGAGCTCCAGGTGACTGAGAGGTTCAAAGAGAGAGTAGTAGACGAAGGTTATAACCCGAGCTACGGAGCAAGACCGTTGAGAAGAGCCATCATGAGGCTTTTAGAGGATAGTATGGCAGAGAAAATGCTTGCGAGAGAGATTAAAGAAGGAGACTCGGTGATTGTGGACGTTGACGCTGAAGGCAACGTCACAGTGCTAAATGGTGGAAGTGGCACTCCAACTACTTCCTTGGAAGAGCAGGAAGATTCTCTCCCCGTTGCTTGAATAAAAAAAAGGCAAAGTGCGTTTCTCTTCTTTTGCTTTGGCCCCTAAATGAAGTATGGCAAGAGAAGGTTATGAATTGAGATATTTGGGGGCTTTCTTAATATACATTTTCTAAATATATGAAAAAAATGTAATGTATAGATGACATTGTGTAGCTTCTTCTCTTCTTCCATGCTTTTTAAGGACTTTGCTTTGGTGCCATGCGAAGAGTTTTTTATTTTTAATATTGGGTTTCAACGTCAAAAGAGTTTAGGACTATAGTTGAAAACAAAGATAATACCCATGGAATCAAAATCAAACATAACATGGTCAAATTTATGCCGTGAAGCAATAAGAGAATGAAGAAAACCAAGAAAAGCTATCAAGAGCTTGAAGCAAATGGAACCGACTACTACCAGATCCTAAACTAACAAAAGCTCTCATGTTTGATTTTCTTCATATATTGTCCATATTTTAAACCTAATTTGCACATCATTAGATTATCCGTGAATCAAGAGGAATTTTGAAAAATATGATACTACTTTTAAAAACTACTAGAATTAGGAAAAACGTTGTTCAAAAATATCACTTTCAAAACTTTATAAACCTTATAAAATCTTATAAAAAAAAAAAATTCAATTAAACATTGTATAACATGCGTTACAAAAACTTGTTAAAATAGAAATATTTTTTGTAACATGCTTTATAAGAATTGAGAAATCCGTATTTATGATATAATTTTTTTTTTGATGAAATGTGAAATTAAGTGATGTAAAGTAGAGTTATTTACAACTAATGAACAATGATAGCAAACGAGAACAAAGTATTGAAATAAAAAACAGAGCACAACGCTTCTATTGGTTTTGTGTATAGCTAAACCACCTTTGGATCAAACCTCGGAGCTTCATGTTTTCAAAATATCTCACCGATACGATTCTCGAACGGATTACTCTCTCAATAGTGCGGGCTAGTTGAGAATGTGTACGATATATCTTGTTGTGCCTTCTCTCATTCCGTTCGCGCCATATATAATATATGGTAGCTTGGAAACACAATCGGAGGAGAATGTAGTCATACCTCGCAAAAGGACGTGTGATATTTTCGTTTTAATAATAGTTGTATTTTAGAAAATTTTAAACAATATGTCCATTTGTTTGTAACCTACAAATGAAAAAGCCGTCGTGGTTTGGTGTAGTAATTAAACTGAAAAATTACATGGGATTTGCAAAATCTACTGAGACTTCAACACTTATTAAAAAGTTAAAAATTATGGTTTCTGCCAACCATTTTGGCGTTATCTTGTAATTGGGCCATTGCTCATTATAGTTGCTGTCGAAAGAGGAACTCAAATTATTTACGTTAACATACATTTAATTAGATTATTACAGCAACAATTATGTAAAGTCACAATTCAATAAAATCCATGCTAAAGGGAAAACTACTGAAATTGATATAACATAGGATTAAGATAAAACGTTTCATGTTGAATTTGGTATTAGTGTAGAAGAAAGCGATGTCACATATTGGAACATAGCTAGTGCCAGTTGCACAGGTACTATTAAATCTTCTTGGGAGATTTTGCATAGATTCGTAAATTGAATGCAAGAAACAAAACAAAACAAAACAAAACAAAAGGAGAGTCGTACCATTACAAAACTCATCAATTTTTTTATTTGAACAAATTTCTCTTTGTTATTTTATTGCATTGTAGGCGATGATATTTGGTTGTGAGTAAAAGGTTATCTCCCTTATCATGTGGATAGAGACTTCTAAGAATATATATATCGTAGATGGAACCATACATTAATCTATTTCTAGGTTGATTTATTTGTATTCTTCTTAGTAGAGAAAATCAATACTTCTCTGAACAAAATGGAAATAATATGGCACTAATATATAAGGACATAAAACGGTTTTGATATAACAGTGAAGAAAACATAGAGATGCAACATTATTTGAATAACAACTAGCTATGCTGAGATTAAGCTAAATAAAAGAAGTATTTGTTAGAGATCTATAACAATTATCAACATAACTTATAAGTATTATATGTTAGATACTTCATATATTTTACAATCGTCACATATTTCATTAGACTTGTCTGAAAACGACACAAAATGGAAATTTGTCTCTTTGCATTTGTAAGTGTAATGTTTTGGGATATCGGATGCTAGGAAAAGACTTTGAGTCGATTTCTTAGAGTGAAGTAATCTACCTAATATATCTCGTAATTCACGATTCATTTTCATACCATGCATCCTTTCGTAATTGGTCTCGTGCATCTATTCTTTTCTTTAAATGTGATCTTGAATATACAAAACATAGTACAAATAAATGAATAATAGATCAGCCGCTAATTAAATGCGTTAGATAAAGAATAAAGGTTTTTGTGCAAGTACTTGATTAGAAAAGAACAAAAGAGATATATTGGTGAAGAAAGTATGATGCCAATAAATGCTTAATTCCTCATCCGGATGAAAAAATGTCTATCATCTTTGGATTATGATAACTAATTACAAGTCTCTCTTGCTGACCTTTGATACGAAAAACATGTCAAAATACAATCATAATGTTTTCTTAGTTCCTAAATAACATGTTTTCTTTCTGCTCTAAACTGATCTCAAAAAAGAAATCATAATATATATATATATATAAAGTCCATGGATCGTATACAATTGATAATAAATAATTGATCGTAGGTTCTTATAATGTTTTTGTAAACTATGTGTCATAATAATAAATAAAAGAAAACGTTAAAAAGAATAATAATAGTCAAAATAATCAAGGACATAGATTGCGATAAATTTTTAAGGGTGAAGTACGTACGTACTCGCTTTTTTCTTTATCGTAAAAGTTTCCGATTATTATTTTTCTATAAGAGTACCCGATTCTATCAAAACAAAATGGTGGATTTATGATTATTTGTCTTCTATGCATACCCAACGGTATCATGGGATTGGACTTCACACCGTATTCACATTTTTTTCTTTTGTCTTTTTCTGAAAAGGAAATTTCCTATGTCGATCCAACGTGGGAAACGAACAAAAGTTTTTATTTTCTCTAACAAAAATGGACAAAAAAAATTGTAGTATTATGGAATCCACAGAGATCATTATTGAGAAAATCACGCGGTATTACATATTTATTTGTAAATGTACAGTACTTTGGATAGTGTAATATTAATCTCTCTAGTCTTTATGTCCGACTGGTTAAACTGTGCATATATAGCTTCGATCTATATATTAGCTGTGGCAGTAGGTTTAGCAATCTGAGTAAAATCAAAATTATATGAGTGATAAATGATAAATATTGCTTTCTGTTGTACTTTAACTTTTTGATATATGTATTATAGGTCCGACCCTCTTATAAGGTAAAACAAGCCATTGCTTTAAGCCACTTCTAAATATAGTTCTTTTAGGGCCACGATATTGAATGCTTGCTTGAAGTGTAGTTGATGGTCAACACAAATACATCAATTGATTTTAGAGAACATTTTCCTCGAGTTCGACTACCCACGTTGGTCGCTCTTTCTTTCATTTAATGGGTTTAGTTGATTAACTTTTTAATGGTACTTTTATTCATTTATTGTTTTCACGTTATGAGCTATTGAGCTTATTCTTATATATAAAAAAAGTCTAATCAAATGATTGATCATTATCTGTCTTTAAGTGTTTACATAAAATAATGAGAAAATCATTTAATTTGAAACAAATTCTTTTAATGAAATAAATAGACAAGTATATATTCCATGAGTTTGCATTTGAAGAAAAAGTGAGAACATATCTAAGAATGATGAAAGATCATTTACTCACCTAATTTTTGAAATTCATCGTTATTTACTTAAATGTTCATTTTTACTCTTCCATGGTTACTAAATGCAATTACTTAGATATACAATCTCGATATTATATGAAAAACATAAATATCATCTAACACAAATTACCCGCCGAAATATGGTGGTAATCTCTTCTCAAATAAAAAGGTATTTTCAATATACAAGTGGTCCCTAAAATACTCTTTCTTCTGTTTCTCCTTGTCTCTTTGAATAGTGAATACAAAAGCAATTGCCTATATAAACCATATCAAGTCCTTAATCTCTCACAAACGAAAAAACACTCTCCCTATCGACAAAGATAAGAGAACTCAGAAGCTTCTACTCTTAAAATGGCAACTTTCTCTTATTTCCAAAACTACCCTCATTCCCTTCTTGATCCTCTTCTCTTCCCTACACCTCACCCCTCCATTAATCTCACTGGTTTCATCGATCAAAATCATCTCCATCCACTACCAAACATTTCCACAGTTGAAGACATTTCCTTTAACCCATTTCTTGATGAATATAATGTTGACAGACCCGAAAACTCTGGCTTAGAGAAACAGGCTAACACAACCAAAACCGCAACCACCCGTTCTTCATCCTGCGACCACGGATCATCAGCCATCACCACCATCGGAAAAAAGCGTGGGAGGAAGGCCAGAAATGTTTCTAACTCCAAGGTATGTTAAACCAACTTGTAATGTTAATGTATCATCTATCATCAATGGGATGGGGTTGTGATAGTCAGAAACATACATGTTGGGGTGGTTTGGTGAATTAGGAAGGAGTAGAGGGAACAAAAAGCAAAAAACAGAAGAGAGGAAGTAAAGAAGAGCCTCCAAAAGATTATATTCACGTTCGAGCTAGAAGAGGCCAAGCTACTGATAGCCACAGCCTTGCTGAGAGGGTATTTTAGTCATTTTCTAACCTACTTTTGGATTTCGTTAATCATTTTCATAAAATACAATGTAATTAATATTTGATTAAACTTATATATGTGTACAGGTGAGAAGGGAAAAGATAAGTGAGAGGATGAGAACTCTGCAAAACCTTGTTCCGGGCTGTGATAAGGTTAGCTAGAGACAATCTTTTAAAGAAATTGATGATGTTTTAATTTTATAATGTTTCTAGAAAATGTTTTTAAACAAATGTGACTTAAAAACTAATAGGTAACAGGGAAGGCCCTCATGTTGGATGAAATTATAAATTACGTCCAGACCTTGCAAAATCAAGTTGAGGTGCATTTAATTTTTAATATATTTTTTCTTGTAACATTTTAGGTTAAAAATAATATATTTTTTTGTGGTAAAAGTGTTAAAATAATATTTATAATTCATATCTTTTTTCTGTTTCATTAGTTTCTCTCGATGAAGCTAACTTCTATAAGTCCGGTCGTCTATGACTTTGGTTCCGACCTTGATGGCCTCGTACTTAGATCTGAGGTACTTCATCTACACACCAGCTCTATCCGGTTAACGACAAAATCATTTCATGTATCTCGAAAAGCTGGTTATCGATATCAATAAAATATCTTCTTGATGAACAGATGGGATCTCCAGAAGTAGGAACGTCTTTTACCAATACAATGCCAACAACTACTTCTATCTTTCCTTCACTATTGGATAATGCTATAGTTCAGGTTTTTTTCTTTTATTCTATACAAAAGTGATAATTTTCAGATAATAGTAATATATTAAGGAGAATCAAGATAGATAAGAATCAATTATTATTAATAGATAGTGATGTGTTGCTTAATTTAGGAAGAGGGAGAAGGAAGAGAGAAGTTTGTAGACAGAAGTGGGTTCAACAACAACAACTTCTGTTCTTTCCCTTGATAAATTACATGTCGACACAAACACAAAAGCCTGCTTTCGTGAGTTTCTTCTGGTCTTGTCTCTTCAACTACCTAATTATTATTTTAAACATTTTTCATAATTGTGAAAAAGCTTGTTGTGGTGTCGTAATTATTGCTATTGTTATTGGATGTAGGTTGATTTCATTTCCTCCCATATGCACGGAGGGAATAAAATCTACGTAAACCAGGGGTCGTAAAAGTGGACGTACTTATTTGTTCTTTCTAGAGAGTTAAAAGAAAATAAAGTACTATATTAGAGATAAAAATAAAATAAAAAGTATATCAGAGATAAAAAGCTCATAATCATTCATAAAAGAGAGCGGCATATGGGGGCAGAGCAAATTCGATGGAGGAAAGAAAGACATATAAACGAAGAACCACTTGTGTTTTTTTTAAACGAAGAACCACTTGTGTTTTTTTTTTTTATTATTTCTTGCGCCAAACTTTCATTTGTCCTCCAATCCACACACTCATCTTATATTTCCTATAAATAAATATAAATGTAAATATTCGGAAGATAAATACTTACGCATGTATATAAATCTAAATGATTCGTTTCCTGTCAATTTATTTGGTTACAAAATAATGTCAGAAGAAAATATTAGATTTCCCTTCCTGAGAACACTTTAATGTACCTGTTGAATAGTTTGGTCATGCTTTTCTGCTCTCACTTGTCACACATTGATAACTCCCATTCCTCTGTCTTTTCACAATACATATGTTCTAAGTTTTATTTTAGTTTAATGCATGTCTCATATATATACCAAAATTATTGAAAGAGATATTTGATACTCTACTACTTGTAAATATGATTTGTTGGTAGTCTAACATTTTCAAGAGGTGGTAATGTATCCTTTATCTTATTCAATGCTAAATTGCAGGATTTATTTGTATGCACATATATAAAAATATGCACTTATTAAATTACATAGACGTTAATAACATCTTTTTATTAATGAACCTAGAAATCCATCGTCAACTTAATGTATATAAAAATTTAAGAATAGAGAAATTTTTGTATCTTTCATTTCTTGATGTATATGTCAAAATTTATATGATTTGTGAAATTACCCTCCACAAATCAACAATTTGAGATATCTGTTAGCTAAGTAAATTTTAATTAATATTATTTCTTCTAAGATTTAAATTGTTATATGGTTCAATAAATTCACTTTTTTGGCCTTCTATAAAATATTAGTATAATTATGATATGTTGCTAGATGAATAAGGTCAAAAAGGAATTTTATCATGAATATGGTATTTATCGAAAATGCATATTTTTCCTCGCAAAGTCTGATTTTCATGAAAAAATGGTGTACATTATTACTCCCTCCGTATTAGAAAGATTGATTTTCTAAGATTTTCACCAATATTAAGAAAACAATAAATGATGTATATTTATTACTTACTTTTGTGTTAAATATTTTAAAAAGTTAATTTCAAGATACTTTTTATCCCATTTACTCCAATCAATTGATCTTGAAAGAAAAATACATTAAATATACAACAGAAAATCAATCTTTTTGATACAAGAATAAAACGTAAACATCATTTTTTTTTATACGAAAGGAGTATTATACAACGAATAAAGCCAAAAAATTGTAAATTTAAAAGCAACAATTCGAAGGCATGATTAAATGAGCAGTCCGGCCGTTAGTCGTCCATAGATTTTGAGGTCTATATGTCTAGTCCCATCTCTTTTATTACACTTTTTTTCTTTGTTTGTTTGCATGTACCTAACTTCATTTCCACTTGTACATGAATCATTCTTCTATTACAAAATATAAAGATAGTAGCCAAGATGGCTGGTGAAATTGCCATTCTTCTATCTCTCTCAAAATAGTGAATGGTAAGTGAACAGTAAACTATATAGGATCATATATTGCGAACATATATATGTTCAACTTGTACGTAATAATGTTGATGATAGTTGACAATTCAGAATTAAGGTGAATGTGTTTATGTTAGAAAGAAAACAAATTGGTTATGGCCGGTAAAGTAGATTCGAAGAGTTAGATCTTATGTCTTTCCGTCGGGATTAAACCCTTCCCATTCCCAAGCGGTGTTGGCCAGACTTCTCAACTCCTTTGGAAAAGTCTAAAAATGTGAGATTATGATATTTTTTTTGGTGGTCAAAAAGTTAACTAACCACAAATACATTTTCTTTGTGTTCAAGTAAATATCTTATAAGGAACAACCCACCATTTTAACATGAAAATGTAAATACATAAAAAAGATAATTGGGTAGTAATTTTAGAAAAAATACAACCTTATTATACGAAATAATATCATCAAAAGTTTTGAAAGTTGAGGAAACACTGATAGTAGTTCATAAGCTTTAAGATTATTAATTTCTATCAGTATATTAATCCAGCTATTGGTTCAGTCTTTATCAGTTGGGTTAGCAAGAACAAATAACTAACTTGTAGACCAAACAACCACTTTAGAAAGCCCACTAACAACAACGTTTATGGGCCCATCAGGCCGGTTAAAGAATTTGAGTACTAAACAAACCTTAACTACTCTTATTGTGTTAAAGACAATTAGATTGTTGTGGTAGATCCGTCCGTATATGTAATGGTTCGACCGATTGCTATAACACCGGATCGATTTTAACAAATATTTTACATCAACACTTTTGAAAATGAATTGGTATTTTTATGTTTATTTTTAGAAAAAGTTCATAAGAAACTTGATTTCGTAAACCTATATTCACACCCGTGGTGCTATAAAATATAGTACTAACTTTGTCATATTTGTTTTAGTACTGAGTGTCTGAGTCAAGTGTATTAAATTCATTTCATAGTGGGGAATAACTAGATATAATTAAAGATTTTTTTTTTCTTTTTTTTGATAAACCCTATCGGCTATCCGGTCGGCCCCGGTAGGTACGCACCGAGGTGCTATATAGTGGACTGGTCCACCGTGTTAACGGTTAGGCCCTTACGGGCTATCAGTAGTCAGGCCGCTTGCATTTCTGGCTACCAGATAAACCAATTGGGCCTTGACCCAACTGACAGACTTCCCAAACAAATGTGTTTTTGTTTCCAGGGAGAATCGAACTCAGGTTTGGGAGTTTCACCCTTTCCCAAAGCTTGCTCTGCCACTAGACCACGGATGCTTGGGCAAAAACTGTTAGGGTAAACTTTTTATAGTGACCGACCCTACCCCGAAAGACCCCATATCCAGGAAAATCCTATATGCGTCATAGAAACCCGTGGGCCATCTACAACAGAATTTTATTTGGAGAGGTTTCAGTTCCACCCCGCCGACAGAGAGTCGAACTCGTGACCTCTAGCAGTTGTGTGTGAGAAATCACATTGAAACCACTAGGCCATCAAGGACTTCTCATTGGTTATGAACCCTAATTGTTTAAAAATAATTTGTTGTTCTAATATTTCTGTTTAGTAATGTATTGAACCCCATGTATATAACTAGAATGTTAGGGTCGACTTTATATCATAAAAAACTCCAAGTTGCATGCACCTAATTTAAAATCTAATCCGGGTTTAGTCATTGGTTAACTCATACCAACCCTTAGCTTTAAATTTAGCTTTTTGACTTTGCATTATTAACACATTTTCTTTTCCTTTTCTCTTTTTTTTTGGTTAAACATTAAGACATTTTCTTATAGTAACTTTTACTATCGACTATCAAGTCTTTTACAGGCCAACTTTTTCTTCTGAAGCCCAATTAGCACCTTTGATCCATAATATCCCTTATATATTATTTGAAATCTAGCAAATTCCTTTGTTCATATGTAATTCCAAAAGTAATTGTAGAAAGATTTAATATTGACTTTTTGAAATACAATAAGCAACACTAGTTAGTGTTTCAGCTAGTTTTAAGTGTTTTTGAAATACAAAAAGCAATATTTATTTACCCAAATAACAATTTTCCATTAAACTAAAACTACTTGGCTAAAAATCGTCTAAAAGACTCTTAATTGCTAAGCTGTTATAAAGGTCATGAAAAGGAGGAATCGTAAAGTCGCAAAAAGATGCGCACATGGGTTAAACGTTTCGTTGTTTATTAATTTATGTGGAGCCCACCATCACTATGCACGCATAGTAATTTACTTTTTTACGCCTATATAAACGAACGAATCCGTTCGATGTAAAATCACAATTCATACTTCAACAATAAGAAGTTATACGAAATATCTCTCCTTCTCTCGTCTCTTTATTTTCAGTATCCCGATACTTATGCAGGTATAAATTATTTCTCCATTATTTATATTTATATACACCATAAAATAAAGTAATTATTTATAACACGTTATCAGCACGATCACTCTATGATCGCTAAAAAAAAAAAACGGTATTATATCAGGCGGTATGTCGCCTCGTTAAAAAAAAAAAATATGAGTAAAAGAAAAAGAAAAGAAATGAAAAGAAAAAGAAAAGAAAAAAAAGAATAAAAATATTTATATAGATATATGTATATGTATATTATTTTCTAGTGGCTGTTCGGACACCGTTATTTACTCGTTACTATAGTGGGAGGAATGTCGCCCCTATAAGTAATCGTTATAATGGATGTTTTATACACCATAGCAATGGACGGCTAAGCCGCCTATAATGTGGATGACTCCGTCACCATAATTTATTTACTGTTATAACGTGGATGACTCTGTCACCACAATATTGCCGTTAAAATTTATTTCTGTTATACTTATATTTTGGTTAATATATAAGGAGGTTCGGCCACCTGTATAAAAACCTATTATCTGAATTTGGTAAATTTAACTGATTGGCTATTAAAATTTACACATTGATTTTCTGTTTAATTCTTTTCACCAACGGTCATGAAGAAAAATTTCAAAAATTTATCACTTTTCAAACGGCTATGAACAGTAATTTTCAATCTATAAATACACTCATTTTCACTCATTCATTCACTCAAAAATCATATCTCTCCTCATATATTTTTCTAAGAAATTTGTTTAAGTTTTCATTTTGGAAAATGATTCGCTTGTTTTTAATTTTTTGCTTAATCGCAATTGTTGCATGTGCTTATGGTCTTTTCGTTGGAGAATTTACTTCCGAAGAATTTATCATAAGTATCAGTTTACTTTTCTATGCAGTTGTGTTCTTTGTAATCGCTTGCATCATTAATATAAATGGTTCAATATGAAATAAATAATATTATTTTACTAATAATATTTATTCAATTTTGTGTTTAGATATCTAATGGCAATCGGAAGCTTATGTTTTCAGCTCTACACATCATTTTGGCCAATTATATATTTTGGATTGCCAACGTCGAACTACATTTACAATCTTTTGGCTTAAT